ATATTATAGCCTATTTTGACCTTAATCGAAATATTCTGTTATTTTCAAAAGCTTTTTTAGTCTGATGCTATGATTAATTTTAAACAGACCGATCAACAAAAGGATACCCAAAATCTAAATATTGGATTGTTCTTTCTAAGTAAGATCCCATTTTCATTACAGTTGTGGTCTTACCTTGACTTGAAGATGAATATAAGTCCATGCTATCCTTCTGGACAACAATCTCTATTACTGTTTTGTAAAAGTCCTCCGTATCTTCCTGTAGTTTCAAAAGTCGAGTTTGTTGTTTGCGGTAGAATAACAGTAGCAACAAGAACCTGTGGGCTCACGTGCGCCCCCTTCAGTGCGGCAGAGGTTATGGCTGCCTCCCCTGGTGCATTTTCATTGCCGTTGAGAGCAGCGAGCCTAAATATCATATATACGTGAAATAAGTTATTTAGAGACTATGGATGGCGAGGATAAATGTAATAAAGGGATCTACAAACATTACATTGGTGACCTACAGTGAGATGGGAACAGGCATGCGCTTAGGGCCCGCTTTCCAGACAGTTTCTGTGGGGTGACGCATTCTGAGGTGAGGCAGATCTCATCTGTGCCTCACCTACCCCACAGTAAATGGCTTGAGCGCGCTCACAAAATAAGTGGCCGCGCTAAATTAGTGCCCGCGCTCCAGCAAGTTACTGTGGGCTTACGAGAGGCAGTGCTCGTGCCTGCCTCACTTCTCATAGCTCCCGTAGCGGAGCTCGGCAAATTTGCTGATTTTGACTATAAAATGCGATTGGAATCATACAGAAATCACATTTACACAAGATCAGTGGAGACATTTTATTATTATTATTATTTAGTTTTTCTTTAATTGTTTTTCCGTTACATTGGAGTATGACAGGTGAGGCTCTGCCTCCCCTGCCTCCACTGACTGCACGTCGCTGATCTGTACAAATGATTACCTGCCGTTTTTGCAGCAAAATGCTACAGACTTTGAAGGGTTATGTGCTGCATTGTAGAGTGCATAGGAACGAACCCCAGTGTTTTTTCAAATGTGTTGGCACGAACTGCAAGCGAACATTTTGTACTTACACAGCTTTTAAAGCTCACTTTTATCGGATTCACAATGTGCCTGCAGCCACTGCTAGAGCCATTGTTACAGATTTGAAATGTGCAATTTCGTTATGTGAGCGCCAATTTCAAACAGTGAAAGAACTTATATCCCACTTAAAAGATCATATAGTGGAGGGACGACCTGTGTTATGTCCAGTAACTGGTTGTACAAATAATTTCACTGTGAAATCGTCATTTACTGCTCATATGTCCAGAAAACACAGAGCATGTTCTGTAGATAGCATAAGTGACATGTACAGGGAAGCCATTTCTCCGTGTTCTGCACATGAAGATGCTTCCCAGAGCCCAAATGATGCAACAACAAATGAAAGCACATATTTGCCACAGCATTTCAATGAGACCTATCTTAGGAATGTATGCTTATTCTACTTAAAATTGCAAGGTCAGCTCCTTCTTCCAGCTTCAACAATACAGACCATTGTCGAAGAGATGCAAAATGTGCATGAGTTGGGACAGGATTACATTTTAAGTAAACTACGTTCACTTTTAAAAGATGACATGTCTCTAACTGATGATGCTATTGCTAAAATCTGTGATTGTGTGAAGGATTCCGATCTGTTCTCAGTCTGTCACCAGGGACCACTGAGAACAGCATATTCAAGAGCTCAGACATTCAAAAAGATGTTCAAATACATAGAGCCTAAAAAAGTAACATTAGGAAATGATGAAAATATGACACAAAGGTTTGCTTACTACATACCTGTGAAACAAACAGTAAGTGGCTTATTAGAATCAGAATTTTGGAAGAATTCAATGTCACAGCAGTCATGTGAAACAGACTCAGATGTTTTTGGTGACATAAGTGATGGACACAACTTTAAGTCCAACCAGTTCTTCATTGAAAATCCAGGATGCCTGAAGCTAATTCTGTACCAGGATGCTTTTGAAATTGTCAACCCCCTTGGCTCTGCTAGGAAAAAACACAAAGTTGTTGCAGTCTATCTTTCTGTGGCAAATCTACCTGCTCATGTGCGCTCTAATACTGATCACATGTCCCTGGTTTTATTGTGTGGAGAGAATGACCTAAAACAATTTGGATTTGCTAAGGTGTTCTCAGAGATGTTAGTGGATTTAAAAGATTTGGAGGAAAATGGAATAGTTACAACAGGTGGAGACATGGTCAAAGGGGCTCTGTACTGCATTGCGGGTGATAACTTGGGTTCACACGGTATTGGTGGGTTCACTGAAAACTTTAGTCGTTCTAAGTACTTTTGCAGGTACTGTGAAATCACACAAAGTGAGTTTAAGAGTGATGATCCAAATGTATGTGGGCCACAGCGCACACCCGAAGGTTACGATTCTGCTGTTGCTGATCTACAAGTTGAAGACAGTCCACACATCAAAGGCATAAAGGCAAACTCTGTCTTCAATGCTCTGACATCTTTTCATGTTTGCAAGCCAGGTCTCCCACCTTGTTTAGGCCATGACATATTTGAGGGTGTCTTATCCTACGATGTTGCACTGTACTTAAAGTATTTTATTAAGAAAAAGAAATGGTTTACATATTCACTTTTGAACCGGCGCATAAAACAGTTCAAGTACAAAGGATCTGATGCTCTCACTAAGCCCTGTGCTGTCAACTCTGACGTATTCAAGCTCTCAGGTCAAGCCATTCAGAACTGGAATTTGTTAAGATTGCTGCCTGTATTAATTGGTGACAAAGTGCAAAATCCAGAAGATGATGTGTGGCAGTTGACTCTCCAGCTTAAAGATATTGTTGATCTGATTTGTGCACAAAAGATTTCGTTGTCACAGGTAGCCTATCTTGACATTACAATCCAAGAATATTTGGAAACAAGGAAGTGTTTCTTTCCTGAGAGTCCACTAAAACCAAAGCACCATTTCATGAGACACTATCCGGCACTCATCTTGAAATTTGGCCCGTTGATTAGAGTATGGACAATGCGTTTTGAAAGTAAACACAGCTACTTCAAGAGATGTGCCAGGCATTTGAAAAACTTTAAAAACATCTGCCTAACTTTATCCGAAAGACATCAGATGTTTCAGGCATATCTTTCAGCTGGGCCAGGATGCAGTCAACTTCTGCAAGTCAAAGACAGTTGTACTTTTTACTCCAGTCTTTACAGCGATTCAATCAAACATGCAGTGAGAGAGTTTGGCTTTTCAGAAAACAATACTAGTGTTTCCACAGACATACAGTATAAAGGTACATCATACAGAGTTCCCGTTAGCCGGTAATTACCGGACAATGACCGGTAAAATATGCTGAAGTCCGGCAAATCTAAATCTCTCCGGTCAAAATGTCCGGTCAAAATAATTTTCCCTTAGCGCAATACCGCATCAGTTGCGCCACTTATGTGACAGACAAGAATAGTATGTGACAGACAAAAGAGTATGTGACAGACAAAAATTGTCAATTCTAATGTCTAACACTTAATGTGGAGAAAGAGATGTCCTGTATGGGTTGATTGTGCGTTGATCTGTTGGTAATGCCTCGGGGTTCCGGTGGGCATGTAAACAAATGCATAATGCTGCGCTATACTTTGTGGCCTCATCCGGTTGCATAGCGACGCTTATTGTTTAGGTGTCTTTTAACAAGCAGGTAGTCATATCATTAGCTAGAACTAGCTAGATCTGATCGATATGGACATAAATGCGAGTAAAGTCTAATCTGACAGGAGAGAGAGATCGGCTGCTGCTGACGAGTCGACACGCAGCTCTGCATGATCCCCTGCAGCGGCGAGCAGAGCAAAACACACTTCAGGTTAGAAAATCACACGTAGCTATTTTAATTACCTCTCAAACTACCTAAACTAGTTATAGATATGTTTAGTTTTACTGTCGGGTCACTCATTACTGGATCCGCGAGCTGCATGATACTGACGGGCTGTCAGGAGAAGGAGAGAGCGCTCCGTTTATTATTCCCGCGTTTTTGTAAATTACTGTACACTTTTGAATAATGTAGTTAATCTACTATAATTAGTTTGTTTAATGTCGAATCATATCAATTTGTTTTAAAGCTCAATAAATAACAAAGAAGACCTTTAACCGGCACTTATCTAATTTTGTCCGGAAGATTTCAACTTTAACGGACATGTTGACCGGCAAAAAAATATTCTAACGGGAACTCTGACATCATATAAAAAAGGGCTTTTCCTTGTGTCCAAACATGACGAGTCCATGGAGTTCGGAGAACTGCTCATTATTTTAATTCAAAATTATTCAGCTGTGTATTTTGTGATGGATATACATAAAGCTGACTATCATTCTGAATACCACCTGTACTCTGTGACAAAACAGAATGCAAGGTTGCAATGTGTTAACATTAACGACTTGGTAGATTTTTATCCGTTACCATCATACATTGTTAACGGGCACCAAGTCATCCCGCTGAAACACAGTGTGTTGTCAAAATAAACACGATATTGGCTACTGTGGTGTTGAAACCATTCTAACAATGCACATGTATGCTTAGGGAAAATGATAAAATACTATTTGAAAAATATTAAAGTGACAGCAGTTTTCTGCAATGTACAGAAATAAAAAGTATACATCCTCAATCACACCCTATACTCAAATTAGAGGTTCCTCTTATCTGTATATAATGTAAGTACAGTATTACTTGACTAAATGTCTAATTATCTTTGTCTTTCATTTGTAATTTTGAAAACCGAAAAGTGTCGTTCTTCCATGATTCCAGAGATGACAGACATGGAGCAAACATTTATACGCAGTGCCATCACTGAGGTCTTGCCTGACCTTCCAGAGATGACAAAGGATATTCTGGAAGATACTTTACAATCCCTTGGGGTGGAGACCTATGAGGATTTCCAGTTTGTTAAGGAAGCAGATTTGCTGTCAGCTTTGAGGCCAATTCAAGCCAGAAAAGTCCTTGCTGCTTGGAAGCTGAGATGTATGTATACTTGTGACTATTGTAGTACAGGATGCAACCAGTGCCCAACGTGGCCTGCATAAAAGATCAATCAGAAATATAGAAACATTAAAACTGTGTTCCTCATAACTCTTTTTGTTTGTATGTGTGTGTTTTGCAGGCCAGACTCCTGAATCCAGCAGCTCATCTGTTGGTGGCTCGCCAGGACCTTCTGCATCCTTGACGTCCTATTCACCCAGAAGTTCAACCTCTTCCAACAGCTGCAAAAGCCCTGATATAGACTGGATGGATAGCTTTGTGATACCGTGGGATAAGTTCCCAGAGGAACTGATGCAGACACTGGAGAGAGGAAAACGACCTAGTCCACAAATGAGAAGAGAGATGGTACGGATTCTGGTGTGTGAAATGAAGCGAAAAAGTACTTGCTTAAGTAAAAGACACACTATTGAAGTTGCAAAAAAGATAGTGGCAAAGTATCCTACGTCTCTTCAAGACATAATAGAGGGAGACGTGATCGGGCCAGGGTATCACTCTCTGGTCAAGCAATTGCAAAATAGGATAGAGAATGTGAAGCGATCCACGACCCCAAAAATAAGAAAACGAAAGAATGGCACCGACGAGTCAGACACAGATGAAGTCCCTCCAGAACAGAGAGCAGCAATCCAGGACACTTATGGGTGCATTACATGGGATTTAAAATTCCTGCCCCTTGGAGAGACCGAAGAGAGCCAGCAGGAGAAAAAGGAAAAACTGAGGGTGATGTCTAAGCAAACTGATGCAAATCCAGAGGAGGTCAAACTTCTAATGAAGTCAACGTTCTACACGCAGCGTAAACAAGTCAACCAGGGGGAAAATATAAAATCCCTCCTGCAAGAGTGGCCGTTTTGGTTCGACGACCTTGGCATGGCAGTCCACTTCAAGGAACTCACAGGAAGTGAGCTTCAAGAAACTTTCACACGGAATTTGGACCTGAAGGGGAAACGACTCCTGAACTACATGAATACTGTTGCTGTGTACAAGAGCAAAAGGTTGCTACAGGCTTTAACCAAGTTTAAAGTGATGAGAGGAGAGCTAAGTGGTTGTTCTGAAGACGTCAAAGACATGGTGCTGCTTCTACTGTCCTACTTTGATGAGAAGGAAGACACGATGTTCTGTTATGTGGAGGACACATGCCTGGCAGGGGAAGTACAGATGGACCAAGTTCAGTTGACTCCCACCATTGTTGTGTGTGGTAAGTAAAAACGTTCACTCAACTTTTTTCTGTTCTTTCTGCCACTTCTTTCTCTCTTTTCTGTCTAATTTGAGACGTTTATGTTGCACAATGTTTTTTGTTACTGTAAGCTCGTAAAGGGCTAGTTTGGATGCTTATGGATACTTATCCATAGTCAGTGTATTACTTGCATGTCTTTGGAGGAACAGGCAGGAGTACGGGTACGTATGTAAAGCTGTGGATGGGTGCAGCAGCGAAATGTATTTTAGCCACCTAAAAATTCAGTTTACGTGTACGCTATATTTATAATATTGTCACAAATGTACCCTGCTGCTTCAGTCCCTATCAGAAACAGACTGTATAGCTGTCTGACAGCAAGGTAGAGCTTTGAAAATATTCTTTAATATAGCATACACTAAGAGTAATATTGTTTTAGTTTTTTTGGTGGCTTAACTATGTCCACAGCAGTGCATTGCTTAGCTGTCTGCTGGTTCTCTTCTCTGTTTCTCCAAACTGTAGCTCCTACAACCCCCCTTCAAACAATATGAACTATCCCCTAAAAGCAAGTCAAATTGACATTACATTTATCTCCCCATAACCTGCAAATACACATACATACATTTTTGTATTGATGGTGAGCAATTTAACAGACCTTAAAATGTGTGCTAAAATTGTTTTGTGAAATATTTCAGGAAGACAAGTCTTGTTTTAATTTAGTTTGAATTGTGTTTTTCTTATTTTTTAGGACGATCATGCTATTCTTCAAGGCGATTCATGCTGAGTGTGGATCGAAACATAGTACAGGACAACATCCCCTCCTTGGTTTCTGCCCTGTCCATGATGTTTGGGAGCTATTATTGCTTCAACATCGCCTACCCGTCAGAGCTGGCATCCACCCTGGAGTTTGTCCAGAGGTATGTGTTTTTTGGGATTGGCTTTATCCAACAATTTATTTTATTAAACTGCAACAAATCTAAAGCAGCTGCTTCAGTGAATTGGGGGTTAAGATAATTATCATTTTGGCTTCAAAATAATAAGATTGATGTGAAGTTTTTTTGTTGTTAGGCAAGCTATTTTATTATTAATTCTGTTGTTTGTTTGTATTTTTATTTGAAGGTGTTTTTTCTCCATCAACCCAGAGAAGGCACCAAAGTGGAGAAGACACGTGCATCCCGTCTTCAGGTGAACCCGAGAGTCCTCACCTTGATACAGGAACTTTCGGACCATGAGTGGCGTGATGTCTGAATATGGACAGTAAGATCAATGGCATGTGGCGATGTGCCCAAGTTACAGTTTGTTTGATTGTTTAAAACGTAGTTAAAATTTGAAGTGCCTTTTTTTTTCATGTTCTTTTAACTAATTTTAAAAAATGCAATATGTAACTCTCAAAAGTTTGTATGTTTTACCAATATGTATGTTGAGAAATGACAGATGTTTTTGATCACTGCTATTTTATATATATATATATATATATATATATATATAATAAATTCTTGGAAAGGCAAGTTCTTGTTGGAATTTTTTCAACTTTTAATACAGTGGCTCTTGAGGTTTATCTAGCTTTGCATTTTAAATTTTAAGTGCTTAATCTGTGTACCCTGGATTACATTCTTCACATTTCTGGTAATAGTCAAACATATATATATGAAGGCAGTGTAGTTTAAATGAAATCTTTCAATCTGACTAATGTATAGGAAAAACATTTTTATATATCAATAATCCTTACAGGCGGTTTTATACTATATATATATATATATATATATATATATATATATGAGATTGATATTCATAGAACAGTTTTTTCTGCATTTTAATTGTAATAAATACATTTTACAGAAAATTTAAATTGCAGTATTTAGATGTTGCTTTCACCGTAAAACTCGTCATTACTACGGCAAAATACACTAAATTATACACAACTTTTGATTACAATTTGCGGGAAAATTCAGTTAAATTACAGCATTACACTGATGCTTTTACAGTTAAACAGTGTTATTTGTTTGGTATTTTTCTGTAAAATTGAATGGGATTCAATGTACAATAGACAGCAACTGCATGTAAATCTTACTGAAATAATCAGTTTAATAGCAACGTGATCATGCTAATTCAGCAGAAAAGGGCTGTTGAAATGACAGATTTAAAATGTAAATTACAACAGTTTTAAACTGTAAAATATACACGTTGTTCTGTAAAGTTGTTTACAGTTTACCGTATTTTTTACATCATTATTCTGGCAACAAAGCTGCCAGGTTTTTACCGTAAAAACAACGTTTTTTTTTTTACAGTGTATCTATCTATCTATCTATCTATCTATCAATCCATCTATCTATCCATCTATCAATCCATCTATCAATCCATCTATCTATCCATCTATCTATCTATCTATCCATCTATCCAGCCATCTATCTATCTATCCATCCATCTATCTATCTATCTATCTATCTATCTTTAAAATCTGACACCCTACCTATAAAGGTGTATTCTACATGAAGTGTTCACCTGTTGTCGTGCCAGCTCGATGAAGCCGCTGCACTCCTCCAGGTACGACGTGATGTCGGTGTCGGGGAGGTCGAGGATCTGCAGCGTTTTATAAACCAGCTGATCTGGGAGCAGGTTAGAGACTCCGTACGCCACGTTCAGAACGTGAGTCACCTGACAGGAAGAAGAGACGACACTGAGGACAACACAACGCCATAGAAGTGACTCTTTCTGTAAAGCTACTCCAAAACTCACAAAACTAAAATGAGAAATCTGCAGTGAAATATTTCAAATCGGCTTTCATTAGCCCCGCCTTCTCGAAAGTCGGCCATTTTGAATAATATGCGTTTTTACCTGTATTTATATAACGCCTCTTACAGAGTAGCTCGGAACATTTAGATTTTAGGAGGGTATTAGCTCATGTCAAATGTAAAGATAAATTGGGATGGAATAGTCGATAGCTCATATGTAAGTAGGCCCCGCCCACCTGATTTTTTTTTTTTTCTTCCTGTATTTCAGCATATTTTGACGATCAACATGTGAAATGATGCTGAAGTATTTGCTTCAAATACTCCAATATCCACAAAAACACACTGCTGTTATCAGTACGAACACATTTCAAAATGGTTTTCATTCGACCCGTCCACCTTAAAGTCTGCCATTTTTTTTAATGTGCATTTTTTTAATGTATTTAAGCAAACTTTTACCAACTCCTCTGAGAAAATAGATTCGAAAAAAAATCTGCCGAAGTAACAACATACTGATACCGGTTAGTAAAAACCATGAATTAATGCTTTGTCAAGTCTGCAGACAGACGGCAGGGGAAAAACCTTTTAAAATGCTTGTTTTCTAAATGGAGATTGGCTAAGCTAACGCAGTATATGCTCCGACCGTCCACACTCACAACAACGGCCTATACAGACATAAATAAAGCAGCGACTGTATTCGCCATGACACAGGCAGTCTGTGGTTTGTACTTGTTTAACTTTTGTCTAGTTTCTGAACAGATATGAGGAGCTGTGAGCTCTGAGTGCTAACAGCTAACGGCTGTGTTGTTTTTCTGGGGTTCTCATTGAAGATGACGTCACGGCTCCGCCTACACTGCGTTACTATAGATACTGCCCCAGTTCCTAAACTGTAATGGAAATGCGCCATAAAGTGAGCCTGTCCTAACGAGGCCTCGCCATACCGAGCGAGGCCGTGTAGTGGAAATGCGCCATAAGTGTGACGACCCCTGCCTTGCTATCTCCTGTTGTGTGTGTGTGGCCCTTTAATGTTCTCCCTCTGTTGTGTCAGCGCTGATTGAGGACACCTGGCCACCTTAAAGTCTGCCATTTTTTTTAATGTGCATTTTTTTAATGTATTTAAGCAAACTTTTACCAACTCCTCCGAGAAAATAGATTCGAAAAAAAATCTAATTCTGGACAAAATACTCAGTTCCTAAATGTGACTTTAAATGACGAAGGATAAGTCGCTAGCTCTAACGATGAGGTCGTAGCTCCAAGGAAAACTGACTGACTTTATTTGAAAACGACTGTTTTTGCAGGAGAGATAGAGATGGATGGTCTGTCTTCAGTTAAATTGATGATGCAACACAGACTCAGAGGGCAGAGAGGAAGAGGAGGGACGAGGGAGAAAGATGGAGAGATAAGAGGGAGGAAAAGGGGGAGACAGATGGCTGAAATTCACTTAGCAGTTTCTGTCTACTCTCACTTAAATACAGTTTACCTCAGAGAGCCGAGTCCTCTCAACATCTGCCGTAACATCCATCCTTTTCTACAAGCTAAAGGAAAGTCTGGCTCTATAAAGTTATTTTCTAAGTGATTTAAAGTGTCCTAAACTAAAACAAATAGCCAAATAATAACAATCTCTCTTTGATAAACATGTTCTGAAAAAAAGCATGCACCAAGAAATGTTAACTAGTGAATGAAAATGCTTTCAGAAAGGCTTACTTTTAATAGATTAAAATGTCCCCTTACTCATTGTAAAATACCCGAACCCCTGCAAGATCAGTAACTTTGAACATGTCTACACACTTCATGCTTTTCCTGATCTTCTACTCTCAATTCACACCGATCCCATCCCAACAAATGTGTGGGTTCTGATTCTTAAACTGAGTTGGATAATATAGTTTGAAAGAGTGATAAACCCAGAGGAAGATCTCGTTTCCAACACGCCGGTGTTTTGACCCCGTTCACTGACCTTAAGCCTCTGCAGGGTTTCCTCGTCGTGCGCTGCATCCTGAGATCCTGAGACACAGAAACAGCTTCATCACATTCACGCGTCTGCTCAGCAAAACTTATATTTTTAAATAAAGCGTCAGATATTCGAATTCTGAGGGAAAAAAAGTCGAAATCTAAGAACAAAATTCTGAAATCTGAGGGGAAAAAATCTGAAATTCGAATTCTGAGAAAAAAAGGAAAAATCTGAGAAAATGTCAGAAATTCGAATTCTGAGAAAATTGTAAAAACATGAGAAAAAAGTCAAATACTGAGAAAAAAAGTCAAAATCTGAGAAAAGAAATCAGAAATCTGAGGAAAATGTCAGAAATTCGAATTCTGTGAGAAAAAAGTCAAATTCTGTGAAAATTGTCAAAACATGAGAAAAAAAGTCTAAATCTGAGAAAAATGTCAGAAATTCGAATTCTGAGAGAAAAAAGGCCAAAACCAGAAAAAAAAATCAAAATCTCAGAAAAAAGTCAAATGAGACAAACGTATGTCAGAACTTTGAATTCTGGGAAAATTGTCAAAATATGAGAAAAAGTTCTGCAGTGAATAAACAGAGAAAACACCCTGAAAATGTGTTTATTTGGTGGTTCTGTGCTCTCTGATGGAACAACATCATCCAGCGTCTCCTTTCATTTCCGATGGGGAACGACTCAGGTGTTACAAAGTGAACCAAACCTCAGAAACCTCATTCATGCGCCTGCTCAGCAAAACTTCTATTTTTAAATAAAGCGCCCCCCTGCAGGCTGACGATAACCAATCGTGACATGAATATTTATCACCAGCTCCCCGGTTTACATCAAGAGACAAATCCAGCGTTTAGTTCAGTTTGATCAGTTCTGTTGAACCTGTAAACACGGATTCATCTTTTAGGAAGGGCTGCAAGATATGAGGAAAATATGCAGTAACATTAAAAATGAAACAGATATTAAAACTGTAATCAGTTCAGCTTCCTGTGCCGCTTTCAGCGTACTGCTAAAATAAATTGCTTTCTGAATGAAATGATTCCTCGTTTGTTATTTTACAAATTGATCTGAACACAAGAGGCACCAATAAAAAGCAGAAAGAGGAATTTAAATTGCAGGTTTCTCCTGTTGTTTTTAATTAACTCAAAATATAACCTGTAGCAGAATGTGTTTACTGCACAAGATAACATGTTGTGCAGCCCTACTTTAAAGTCATTTATCAAACTAACCAAACATCAGCCGGTTCCAGCTTCTAAAAGATTAACATTTTCTATTTTTATTACATGTTTTTCTTATTTCTTAACAGACTTGGTTGATCACTAAAGTCCATAGTATATTTTCTCAATTTTCTGATATTTAAATCACAAATACAATCTAAGGATAAACTCAAAATGAGAAATTGTTTCTTACAAAGAAAGCTACGCAACTTGTGTCCTTTCTCCGAGAGGCTTGAAGACCTTTCTACAGGTTTAAAATCCAGGTTCAGGGAATCTAAAAAAGAAAGGGACGTTTCTGGGAAACTTGGACAGGTCTCTGGGCGGCTTTAACAGACGGGTTTATTCTTAATGCTATAGTATTAGTAGTAGCAGTAGTAGTAGTAGTAGTAGTATTAGTATTAGTAGTAGAAGTAGTAGTAGTAGTAGTATTAGTAGTAGCAGTAGTAGTAGCAGTAGTAGTAGTAGTAGAAGTAGTAGTAGTAGTAGTAGTAGTAGTAGTAGAAGTAGTAGTAGTAGTAGTAGTATTAGTAGTAGTAGTAGTAGTAGTAGTAGTAGTAGTAGTAGTAGTAGTAGTAGTAGTAGTAGTAGTAGTAGTAGTAGTAGTAGTAGTAGTAGTAAGTAGTAGTAGTAGTAGTAGTAGTAGTAGTAGTAGTAGTAGTAGTAGTAGTAGTAGTAGTAGTAGTAGTAGTAGTAGTAGTAGTAGTAGTAGTAGTAGTAGTAGTAGTCTGACGACCCCTGCCTTGCTATCTCCTGTTGTGTGTGTGTGGCCCTTTAATGTTCTCCCTCTGTTGTGTCAGCGCTCATTGAGGACACCAGAGGCCTGTACTACGAAGCCGGATGTTCTCTTAGCGAACTTCAGGGAAATCTCGGGCTTTCCGGTCCTACGACGCTGGTTCTCTTTTTAGCAGGCTAGATTTCCATGGTAACTTATGCTGAGCGGCTAACCTGCTCCGGAGCAGGCTAGGTGGCAGGCTAAGAGATCAACTCAGTGAAAGCACCGCCTGCTGACCAATCAGAGCTCAGTGTGCAGAGTTTAAAGATATCAAGTCATATTACAGGATAGAGGAAATACAGAAAAACTGCCGTTGCAGGAAAGACGGCCGGCCAAAATCAACTGACTGTGTGAACGTGAAAATTAATAGAATATCCCCTCCCATCTTCAGAGCAATCTGACTATTATAACATTAGCGTTAAGAAAGCTTACTTAAATATCTGCCACAACATAAGTAACCGGATCAGAGTAACATTAAGTACAGTCCGCGGCACTGTGAGTGCAGACGTCGATGTGTCCCATTATCATTCATATCATATCACATCATAATGTATCATATATCTCCTTATCTGAGTCAGCTGAGCCGTATCTGGCCGTGCAACACTCACAGTGTCACATACTGTATGCAGAAGTATTATTTTAAGCAACACATTAAATTGACGAAACACTGGAGTCAAATGTAATTAAAGTCAGATCGTGTCTTAGACGGGGCAGTGATATCATAAACCTGTTAATGTACGCATTCAAACACTTTCTCTGTTACCAGCTGTATTCACCTTGCAGGTGCAGCTATGTGGCTTTGATCCTGGATAAAGTGTTTAAGTCATGGATGTTTAAAGTTTAACTTCTTCATATTTGACTAATATTAGAGTTCACTTTTCATTCAGGAAATATGACGCTGCGCTGTCAGTACGCTTCTCCATGTTTGAGATTGGTCGAATGCTCCAGATACCACCCCTTTCATGTGAACGCGCACCTAACTAGATAGGACACGGCTGGCTTGAGCGATCCACTTGATAACCAGCGTCGTAGTACAGTTTAGCGAGAGCGCGTATGTTTTGGATTGGGCCAACCGGCTAACTCCAACATATCCAGGTTAGGTTGAACCAGCTTCGTAGTACAGGTATCTGGCTGCTGGCACCTGGCTGCTGGCACCGGAGGATTGAAAGGCCTGATCAGACTCTCGATCTCTCTCTCCGCGGAGGACCTGTGCCGGGAGCGGCCACTCTCTTGCCTTGTCTTTATGTTAGTTTTAGTTAATAAACATATTTTCTTATACATCCTCTTGTCCTTTCCACACTTGTTGTTATGGCCAAGACAGTAGTAGTATTAGTAGTAGTGATATATTACCCAGCAGTATGAAGGGTCTCACCACGCCCACCTGCAGGTCCAGACTTGTATCTTCTACAAATCCAAACGCAGCTCCTTCCTCCTCTTCCTCTACTCCTCCATCATCATCCTCTCCACCCCCCCTCCTCTCCAGCAGCCTCCTGCCGGTCACCGTGGTTACCCTCGTGCACTGTTTCTTCAGACGGCTCTTGGAGAAACCCTGGATCTCCTGAGACAGTGAATGCATCGCAGGAACCTGAGACAGAAAGGATGATCTGTGTTTTTATTTGACCCAATAATGTAGATTAGTTCTTTTGAATAGTCTTTCCCTTCAGAAGCATGGCTTTCTGTTGATTACATTCATCAACAAACACAACAACCGCACACTTTATCTAAACACGAGTTAAAGAATAACAACTTCCCCCCACCTGAATGAATGGCTGACAATTCTAATACACATGTATACAATAGACAAAAGTAGATATATCTGCTACGATTACAGAGGGACACTTTGAAAGAAAGATGGTGGAGGTAGTAGTAGTAATATATTACCCAGCAGTATGAGTATTAGCAGTAGTAGTATTATTAGTAGTAGTAGTAATATTAGTAGTATTAGTAGTAATATTAGTAGTAGTATTAGTAGCAGTATTAGTAGTAGTATTAGTAGTATTATTATGATTAGCAGTAGTAGTAGTAGGAGTAGTAGTAGTATTATTATTAGTAGTATTAGTAGTATTATTATTAGTAGTAGTATTATTATTATTATTAGTAGTAGTAGTAGTATTAGTAGTATTAGTAGTAGTCGTAGTATTATTATTATTAGTAGTAGTAGTAGTAGTATTATTAGTAGTATTATTATTAGTAGTATTAGTAGCTACGATTACAGAGGGACACTTTGAAAGAAAGATGGTGGAGGTAGTAGTAGTAGTAGTAGTAATATTAGTAGTAGTATTAAGATGGTGGAGATAGTAGTAGTAGTAGTAGTAATATATATTAAAGTAGATATCGTAGCATATGTATCTGCTACGATTACAGAGGGAAACTTTGAAAGAAAGATGGACACCACTGGTGGAGGTAATAGGAGGACATTGGGATTTTCAATTTCTTGGATTTGATACCTTAAACATGTTGTGACCCCTTGTTAAAGAAACTGTTGATCTAAATTGGAATACTATTGGATGTAAAGGGGGATGTGAGAAAATAACTAATAAAGAATAAGTAAAAAAAAAAAAGAATAACAACTACTTAAACGTGTTATATATTTGACATACTGTAGATATATAGATAAATCAGTGTCTCTCGTGCAACTGAACGAATGGGACACCAATAAACATGCAATATTACACAAGCTTATTGTTGTCCCACTATATTCTGGGAAGTATTTCCTAACTGAAGGCGAGGAAGGCACTTCACAGAGTGAGGTTAGCACTCTTTTTAACATGTACACATACAAGGACTTTACTTTGGTGTCTGCTGCTGTGAACATAAACAATCTAAACAAATAAGGTGCAAAGTAGATATACAAGGATAATAAAAAACTAAGTATTTTTAAGAAACAATTTAGCATTAAAAAAAGATGCTAAAGACAAGACACACCACATTTAAACTATAGAAATAACCTTAACAGCTCAAAAACACCATTGAGTATATGGCAAACTACAGTGAACTATATTTTAAAGTGGAGGGCTCTGCAGACATGTGCAAAAAGCAGTCAGAGAGTTGAGCTTAATAAACTGTCCCTGAGTCTGCAGGTCTTTGTCCTGAAGCTCCACCACAGTGTGTGAACTTAACTTTAAGGTGCATTTACTAACAGCTAGCAAACTGTATGTGCACAATCTGGAATCTGGAGTTGAAAAGTGTGCATTTAAGTTCATAACGTCACGTGTGTATATATAATGTCTGTTTGTGAGTAAAATCACGGAGCTTTTTCCCGTGCACCCACCTGGTTAAATGTTATGAACTGTCAGTCAGATCATCGCTGCTTCACTGTATATAATTATATAACATTATAACAAATACAGAGCTGTTTGCAGGGAGAAATCCTGGTAAAATGGGAGAGAAACAAAGCAGCTGTAACACTGACAGTCGGAAGCTGCGTCAACAATGAGATGCGTTCAGGTGCTCACAGTAAAGTAGTTAAGTACATTTTTAGAAAGGAAAGGTGCTCAGGGTGTGGCTATAAATGATGTTTTTTGGTTTATTTATTCACAAATCAATCTGTCATGATTACTGGTGTCAGTACAGACAATGGGGGACATTAACACTATCGCAGCATTTGCATTTTTAAGTCAAATTTTGTTAAAGAAAAAAGTCAGAATACTGAAGAAAAGTAAAAATTCTGAAAAAAGCCCAATTTGTAAAAAATAAATAAAAATGTTATTCTCATGTAGCCCTAATCGTTTTTGGTAAAACTTTCTGCACACATTGTTAAAACATTTAAATATCTGTCATATCGTATCACTTAATCTTCTCAGGTACACTATTCTCCTAGGTTTCCCTGAACGCAGCACAGCCTCGTTGGAAAAACCAGGACAAACCTCCCCATCCTCCGAAAACCCAGGGAGAGAGAGACGGTGGGGTGGAGTCCGGAAACATGGCCCAGATCTAACATCCCTGCAGAAACACAGGCTTCTAACTCCTTTATTTACATCACTACAAGCTGCGGATATTATTCCTGATATTACATATTTTCTATCTGGATTGAATCTACACATTTAACCGAAGATGTCTCGGGGAGTGATCCAGCCCAGCCAGCAGAAACTGGCCGAAAAGCTGACCATCCTGAACGACCGAGGCGTCGGGATGCTCACCCGGGTTTACAATATCAAAAAGGTTCGCACACACACACACACACATATCCCCATAAACACATACAATAACAGTATCTGTGAGAGAGTGGCAATATGAACGCGGAATGCCTGATGAGCTAGCAGTGGGTGTAGCATTAGCAGCGGCAGTAGCATTATAGTAGTAGTAGTAGTAGTAGTGGTGGTAGCATTAGCACGGTAGTAGTTATGGTTGTAGCATTAGCAGCGGCAGTAGTACTAGTAGTAGTGGTAGCATTAGCAGCGGCAGTAGCATTATAGTAGTAGTGTCAGTAGCAGTGGTTGGAGTAGCATTAGCAGCAGTAGTATCACTGGTATGTTACTGTTAGCATTAGCACGGTAGTAACTGGTAGTAGCATTAGCAGCGGTAGTAGCATTAGCAGTATCCCATCGCTAACGGCAGTAAGATACATTCCATATACATACTATGTACAGTATTAATAACAAACATATTCACCATCGTTAATACTACCATTCTAAACTTGAATATGTACTTACGTTATCTAAATAAAGCGTCCCTTCTATCCTTAAGCTAGTCGCGTTAGCTTGCGGTAAAGTAGCCTCCAACCTCTAGGAAATTAGCCGGCCTCCGAAGCCGATTTTCGGACACTTTCTCACTCTACAGTCGCTCTATTTCAGGCTTCATGCGACACTGAGCGAGTCTCATAGGAATGAACGGAGCCCCGCCTCTCTCTCTCTATACATACACCGTCGGTTTTGCGATTTAAACTGGTCTTCCGTTTAATTAAACACAACTTTAGACGTGTTGTAAACAGTATAGTTAACGTGTATCAGTTAATTTACAACCTAATCTGGTACATTAAACTCCTTTAGGTGTTATCGTGCAAATTAGGCCTGCATTAGCAACGGGCGTCGTCTCTGCTCCATCAAAACACAGATGCTAATGCTAACAGCTAATGGTTACAAACAGAATGGTTTTATTACCAAGTACGTTTACATTACACATTTTCTTTGGTATTAATGGTGCATAAAGAGACACAGAAAGAAGATATAGGAGGAAACAAATGTAGTGCTATTATACAAGCTATTTTGATGTGGATAATTGATGTTTCTCTACACCTAAGCTTATATATAGCTACGTTTAGCTGGCTTGTTTAATGTTAAGTAGATGAAGCTAAGAGTATTTAGTGTCATTAGTTTGCAGTTTATTCAATTAAAGTGACACATGTCAACAAACACTCTTAACAGCACCAGAGTACAGCTTGAACAACTACCCACCAACACATAAACACTACTATTAAAATAGTAGATATATATGGTTAAAGAAATAACACAAAGGCAAACATCTCTTTTTATAGCTGTATCTAGCAGGTGTTTAGCTCTCATAATTTGAAAAATATATATAAATAATCATTTATTTAACACAAATGTATGTCTTTTTGCATTTTAAGCCACTCTGAGTGGCATTCACATGACATTCACATGACATCTGCTGCTTTAAAGTGCATTATAGCATTGCATTCGACACATACATATAACATCATGTATTAGTGTTACTGACTCCTGTGTGTGTTGAAACAGTGGTTGTGTGTGGGAGGGAAAGAGTAGTGGGTCTGTTTGTGTGGGACTGGGAATGGATGATGAATATGATGAATACATAGAGACGAGAGAAAGAGGCAGAGTAGATAAACCGCCTGAAAGCCCAAACTGTTCATTTCCATTGGAGCTGTCCTCTACTGCTCAGCATTCAGTGTTAAAGGAATAGGATGTATGTTGGTGGTTCTAAGATCATCAGCTAGTTTGATTTCACAAATATAAAAATAAGTCAGAATTCTTAATATAAGACTCATTAAAAAGTAAGAATTCTGAAAAAAGACCAGAATATTGATTGAAAAATAACTCTGAATAAGAATGAGAGTTCAGAAAAAAAGTGAGAATCTATTTCTGTGAAAATCACAGTTTTGACAAAAGTCATAATTCGGAAAAAATACTGATTTAAAAAAAAATATATATATATGAATTAGGAAAAAATATGATAGTTCGAAGAAAAAAAATGTTGGATTTTGAGAAAAAAGTCATAATTCGAAAAATACTTATTTTTATAAAAAAAAGACGGAACTTTCCGAAAAAGTCAGAATAAGGAAAACAATTGATTTTGGGAGAAAAAAATGTTTGGCCGAAAATCTCAGGATTCAGAGGAAAAAAAAGATAATTCGGAAAAAAAATCACAATTCGGTTAAAAGTCAGCATTTTGTGAAAAAAAAGTCAGAATTAGGAAAAAACTGTTAATTGTGAAAATCTCAGAATTTTGACAAAACTCAGAATAAGGGAAAAAAGTCAGATTTCTTTAAAAACAAAATCTGAATTCTTAAAAAAATCTGTATATTTGAGGAAAAAGTCAGAACTTTTGACTTAAGTGTCGGATATTGACCAATCAGCAGATAGTTAAATATCCTCATCCTGTGTGTTTATATTCTCTGCAGACAGTATGAGCTGTCAGACAGTCATTTCTCTCTTATTACGCCCTTCCTCTCCTCCCTCCTTACTTCCGTCCTTCCTCTTTCTTCTGACCCTTCATCTTCATATCTCTCCTGATCTTCCTCACCATTAGGGTTATATAAATAAACACATCCATGTGCTCTTCTATAACACCTTTTAAAAATGTCTTCAGCATCCAAAAACTAGAAAAACCCCAAAGATAGAAATCAAAGAACTGGGATTATGATCTGTGAGACGATTAGTGAGCTCCTTCTGGTCATTTAAATAACAATTTGGAGACCAATTAAATCTATTTATTTCTGAAATGCTTACACAACTAGTGGCTTAATTATGAAAACACAGGCAACAGATCTGGGTGTTGTGTTTCTACCTTTTGGAGAGAGTTATGACCCATGCTCACTAACAACAATATCATCGACTAAAATCACAGCAATGTTCTTTTCCATTTAATAACCACCGTCACTCATTACTCCATCGAGCTGCAGAAAACATCTGTTCTGGAGAGGACTCTTTAAAGTAGAGACACTACATATTGATATACACCTGAACATCAGCAGGAGAGGACTCTTTAAAGTAGAGACACTACATACTGATATACACCTGAACATCAGCAGGAGAGGACTCTTTAAAGTAGAGACACTACATACTGATATACACCTGAACATCAGCAGGAGAGGACTCTTTAAAGTAGAGACACTACATACTGATATACACCTGAACATCAGCAGGAGAGGACTCTTTAAAGTAGAGACACTACATACTGATATACACCTGAACATCAGCAGGAGAGGACTCTTTAAAGTAGAGACACTACATACTGATATACACCTGAACATCAGCAGGAGAGGACTCTTTAAAGTAGAGACACTACATACTGATATACACCTGAACATCAGCAGGAGAGGACTCTTTAAAGTAGAGACACTACATACTGATATACACCTGAACATCAGCAGGAGAGGACTCTTTAAAGTAGAGACACTACATACTGATATACACCTGAACATCAGCAGGAGAGGACTCTTTAAAGTAGAGACACTACATACTGATATACACCTGAACATCAGCAGGAGAGGACTCTTTAAAGTAGAGACACTACATACTGATATACACCTGAACATCAGCAGGAGAGGACTCTTTAAAGTAGAGACACTACATACTGATATACACCTGAACATCAGCAGGAGAGGACTCTTTAAAGTAGAGACACTACATACTGATATACACCTGGACATCAGCAGGAGAGGACTCTTTAAAGTAGAGACACTACATACTGATATACACCTGAACATCAGCAGGAGAGGACTCTTTAAAGTAGAGACACTACATACTGATATACACCTGAACATCAGCAGGAGAGGACTCTTTAAAGTAGAGACACTACATACTGATATACACCTGAACATCAGCAGGAGAGGACTCTTTAAAGCAGAGACACTACATACTGATATACACCTGAACATCAGCAGGAGAGGACTCTTTAAAGTAGAGACACTACATACTGATATACACCTGAACATCAGCAGGAGAGGACTCTTTAAAGTAGAGACACTACATACTGATATACACCTGAACATCAGCAGGAGAGGACTCTTTAAAGTAGAGACACTACATACTGATATACACCTGAACATCAGCAGGAGAGGACTCTTTAAAGTAGAGACACTACATACTGATATACACCTGAACATCAGCAGGAGAGGACTCTTTAAAGTAGAGACACTACATACTGATATACACCTGAACATCAGCAGGAGAGGACTCTTTAAAGTAGAGACACTACATACTGATATACACCTGAACATCAGCAGGAGAGGACTCTTTAAAGTAGAGACACTACATACTGATATACACCTGAACATCAGCAGGAGAGGACTCTTTAAAGCAGAGACACTACATACTGATATACACCTGAACATCAGCAGGAGAGGACTCTTTAAAGTAGAGACACTACATACTGATATACACCTGAACATCAGCAGGAGAGGACTCTTTAAAGTAGAGACACTACATATTGATATACACCTGAACATCAGCAGGAGAGGACTCTTTAAAGTAGAGACACTACATACTGATATACACCTGAACATCAGCAGGAGAGGACTCTTTAAAGTAGAGACACTACATACTGATATACACCTGAACATCAGCAGGAGAGGACTCTTTAAAGTGGAGTTTTTGATTGGAGAGGACGTTGCCTTTTTATTTTTCCTCTGTCCAATTTGTCTCCAAGTTCTTTTACACTTATTTAGACTTTGATGATGCAGTGGTTCGTACGACATCAGGATTTTCTTCTTCTCCTCTCTTGCTTACTCACAGCATGTCTTTTCTGGCCTGGTAATGCCTACGGTGGCCCTGCAGGGACAGTCGCTGCAGTCACACATGTAAAGTTAACCTACAGGGGAAAATAATGACAGGATGACATTTAACGAAGGTTATCCCTGATGGGCAATTTAACCCCTCATTGGTCATTTTAATGGAATCTTTATGAGCTATTAAGGAGAAATACATTTCTCATGGCCTGAATGGCAAGTTCCCCTGGGGAAAACAGCACAACCTGATCTTTATGCCACTGTTGATATATTTATATATACAGTATTTGATTTGAAATGGCACACTAGGAGCAACATTAAACTTTAGCTTATCGGTGGTGACGTGAAGTCATGTGACGTGCTGTAGTTCCTTTATAGAGAGGCGAAGTCCCTCCCTTTCCGGGGGAGCTCCATGGGACCTTATTTCGGAAAAAGTATGTATTGAAGTCAATGGCGAGAGAAAGATTATCTTTCGATCCCGTTTGAATTGAGCCACGAATTACACAGATGATGTTTGTCAATTTAAAAGATAATTTCGCAAGTCAAAAAAATTAAAATGTGCCGTAAAACTGCGAAGTAACACTTTTTTTTTTGTGTGAAACCGCTCAATGAACTACATCTCCCGTCTCGCACCACATACCAAGACGGCCGTCACGTTAGCACAATAATCCAAAATCAAATGGAGGAATCCCATTGGACCAGAGAGATGCTGCCTTCAGGGTCCAACTCAGAAATACATCATCCCTGAAGCTCTTTATTCGACTTCACGCCAGGGCCTTTTCATTTGACCCACATGCGTCCTCCTCGTTTCTCACTTGAAAACCCTTTAAATCACAGCTCAGTATAAATGAACCTCTCGTGTCTCTAAAACTATGACCTGATATTTTCAGACGTGCATGTTTCGTGCTTCAGTGAACGCTGCATTGAGCTGTTACTAAGCAACAGGAATGTGAAGCAGATACTGCAGCCAGTGAATACTGCAGAGAAAACACACACACACACACACACACACACACACACACACACACACACACACACACACACACACACACACACAGTGTAGCATGTATACAGTAGTGAAAGTAAAGTATATATTGCACAGTTATTTCCATATTTCTCACAGTATTTGAATAGCAGACAGTATTAATCATAATTAAAAAGCAGTATATATATATTTATATATTCCACAACAGATGTGTTATAGTCTTTGTTGTTATCCAGTCTGTTTGCCAGCCCATCGAGTCCTATTGTGAACCCGGAAATGTTGAGTACCCCAAAGTTTAATGTTAGAAATGTATATTAATCCAATTGTGACATTTTCGGGATAATAAATGGCAGTTTTAACCAGAAAGTGGCCATATTTGTACTGACTTCACTACCATGAGTCGTGTTGGGACCGTTGGATATAGAGAGCATTATTACCTCTCCTGTGGACAATTTATTTTCAAATAAATAAGCGATCTGTGTAAACCAAATGATCCAGAGTCCCTTAAAACTTCAAAACCGACCCCCAGATAACACTAAGATGGCCTCTTTCTGGTTAAAACTGCCATTTATGATTCTGAAAATGTCAGAAATGGATTCAGCGTCCTCATTAACCTCCAGAACCACTCAGAAATCAATAAAGGCATTTCTGTTTTTACTATTGTTTACATATTAATGCTATTTAACACAACTTGTGCTAATTGTGTAAACTACCCATCATATGCAGGTTATCATCCAGCAGTCTCTATGTGCTGGGGACCCTAAATACACATTTCTAACATCAAAATGTGGGGGTTTCAACATCTCCTCGTTCACACTGTTGCCAGGTAGACTTGTCTGTAGGGTTAGGATCACTTTGTGTTACAATGTGATCACATGTCTGCGCAGCATGTGCTGTTCTCTGTGTTGTGTTGAAACAGAACGGCTGTCCTTAACTGACCTCTCAGAAAACACCTGTGAGAGTGTGTGTGTGTGTGTGTGTGTGTGTGTGTGTGTGAGAGAGAGAGAGAAAGTGTGTGTGTGTGTGTGTGTGTGTGTGTGTGTGTGTGTGTGTGTGTGTGTGAGAGAGAGAGAAAGTGTGTGTGTGTGTGTGTGTGTGTGTGTGTGTGTGAGAGAGAGAGAAAGTGTGTGTGTGTGTGTGTGTAGAGCAGCAGTTTGTCTATAGGTGGGCTCTTTGTTTTTGATTTCTTCTCTTCTTCTCTCCGTTCCAATGCTTCCCCCCTCTCCTATGCAGCAAGGACAAGTTTGGAAGGTTTGCAAAGTTTATCACCTTCCACTGATGAAACCCCACTTCCTCCACCCTTCCTCTTCCTCTTCGTCCTCCCTTCCTCTTCCTCTTCCTCGTCCTCGTCCCTTTATGATCTGTTGCTCCTCCCTCCTCTCCATGTCTGAATCTGAAGAGCTCCATCACTGTCAGTGTTTATGATGCAGCATCACATGTTTTCTCCCCATGCTTTATTTCAAAATAAGAGCGGCACACAAACATTAGCTCGCCCTTTCACCAGTCTGCAAAGCTAACGCAAAAACTATGTTAGACTTGATTTGAGAACAAATTATGTCCAGTTTGAGTGCACTTGTTGTAAGGTTAGGGTTAGGGGTGGCTGCAGTGTGATTCAAACCCTCTACACAACAGTGGTAGCTTCACGTTTATGTATATTTATTTCAAAATAAGAGTGTTTTTCTTTATTGTAGCACACAAACATTACACTTCATTTTGACACGTATGTCTATTGAAGTCTATGTAACCGACTACAATGAGTAAAAAACCTCTAGAAAGTGTTTATAGTTTAATGTATATTTACTTAAATATATATATGTTTGGGTAAACCATAGAAAGTATTGTTTGCCTGGACAATAATCCCCATTAACGTGTTAAAAAGTAATATTACTACAGGGTAAAGCCATACTTTATTATGCAGAATAACTCACTTTGTCACTATTTATTTATATCATATTATCAATACATCAATCTGTGATCACCTTTAATGTTACAGATGGAAAAGGTGGAGCAATCACATGTTTTTTTAAGTACTGCTAGGTAGCTTAACGTATAATAATACACAATAATCTACCCAAGAATCTCCCTGCACAGTTTGTTAAATTGGTTTGCATCGTTTCTGACGCTCCTGATGGAAGTCTGATCGTTTAATGTGTAGATTTTCATTGATATTTTCTAAACTGTGTACAAATGACAATAATAGCCTTAAATGAAACCATAGATAAAGTTTTGAGATGTGTGTCAGTTTGAGAGGTTATCTGGTATTTTGAGTGGAGACACGAGGGGGGAGGCGAGGTCTCCTCTAGTCCCTCACCCTTCATCCACCTCACCCCCTTCTCCCATCCATCCCCCCATCAGACCCCAGAGAGACAGATTATTGCACCGCCAGAAAACTATGTATAGAGATCTTTATGCTAACACAAGCACAGCCAATTCTGTTTAATTCTGTTAATAGCAGGGATGACTAATCAAACATTCAAAATGATTCAGGTATTCCAATATGAGTTATGAATATCTTTATCATGTCAATTCGGTCAAATATTCGAATATACATTTGCTTTCCAATTCCCATCCCTAGTTAATAGTAGATGAATTGGTGAGCTAGGTGCCGCTGCGTTGGCTGAACCAACGAAGAAGAAGAAGCCAGGTTTTTAAGTTGATGCTAAATAACAGAAGGTTTGCATGTTTTAGCCCATCAATGTTTACATCCCTGCTGCCAACCATCGTCCCAACACAGGTGCTCACCTTGAATTTCTTGTCTATTTGTTTACTGAAATGCTTCATCAGAATCTCCAACAGTCGCTGCATCACATCAACAAACTGTACGTCAGAAAAACAACACGGATGATTCGAAAGATGGGGTTTTAGAGTCAGAAATCCTGTCTTTGTGCAACAGCAGGGACATTTACTGACATCAGGTGGTGGTGGGAAACTCTGATATCACATCTACTGCCTGAACGCTAAAACAGACGATTACAACAATTAGATTTTCCCAAATCGTGGATGTTTGAACGTCCTACAATCACTTGAACGCACCACCGTGTGTCAAGAGTAATTACCTTTCCAGAGCTAGCATCATAAATTAAAGGGGACCTATCATGCAAAATGCACTTTTGTACGTCTTTTCTACATGAATATGTGTCCCCGGTGTTCCAGGGAACTCACCAAGTGTCAGAAAACACAACCCTCTCTATTTTCCTCCATACCCAAATCTCTAAAAAAGGGGCTGCAACGGATAAAAACTGATCCAGATTTGAACACTGTCCTGACGTCAGGACGGTGGCGCTACGGCTATTGGGCCAACTCCACCAATCAGGAGGAGACAGCCACGGCCATTGCCGTTCGAAAGCGCTGGAGACGCTGTCGTACATATGCCAGGCCTGTAGGTGGTGCTGTTCTCACTGAATCTGCCCTTGCAGAGCAGAGCTAAAAAAAAATGCAAATTGAGCGAAATGAGGCATGGCTAAAATGCATGATCTGTTTGGTATTTTGAAAACAGAAACGTATAAATATACCTTATATAGGTATGGCCCTACAATATATCATTTAAATATACCATGATAGGTCCACTTTAAGTAAGAAAGCATTCGATCAGTAGATTCCTGCACAAACTGTTTGTATTTAGACACCAAAGTGGAGCAAAATAAAAGACTTACGTTTGGGCTAAAATAGAATAAATGGGATTTTCTCATATTTTAAAAGATCGCTGGATGTTTTGAACGTCCTACAATCACTTGAACGCACCACCAAGTGTCCATAGCAATTACCTTTCCATCAGAAAGCATTCGATCAGTACATAATACAAATCAGTAGTCCAGGCCTGTATTTAGAGCAAATAAACCTTTTGAGTTTGGGCTCAAACAGATGATTCATAAATGGGATTTTCTCATATTGTAAAAGGTTTGAACGTCCTACAATCACTTGAAAGCACCACAAAGTCTCCATAGCAAGTAGCTTTCCAGAGCTAGCATCATAAATTAAGTCAGTAGTCCAGGCCTGAATTTAGAAGTTTGGGCTAAAACATGGAAACCTCTGTAGAGTCCCTTCAGAAATCAAACCGATGTTCTGTAATAACCAGTCGGTGTTTTTCACTCTGCAGTTCCCCGGCGTGAGTCAAAGGGTAAATAAATGTCGGTGTGAAGTAGAGCGAGGATTGTGGTTTTAGATCAACAACATCTTCTGATTCGTTAACAACCCCTCTTCCTCTCACACACCTGAACAGATTCACACGGGGGTCTCTGAGCCTTTTCACACACTCAAATTACTTGTTGATAGTGTCATGGACAGTCCCCATTAATCACAACAAACAGGAAATGGGGCATTAGCTTTAGCCAACATTGCTAATTTCCAGATGATAATAATCACCTTTTTAAAATCACAACACATCAACAGCATTAGTTATAAAGAAAGGATGAAAGACAAGTAGCTAGAGGCGAAAGGATATAAGAGAACACGCGTTACTACATACATGTCACATATAGCACATCACAATCACATCACAGTAATCAACGTGTAGGTCTTGTCCGGTGTGAGAGACGTTGGAGCGAGGAAGCATCTCTGCAGGTCCATTGATCTGTGCTGAAGTCATGTTGTTGTTCTCTGTGTCAACCCCCCCCCCTCAGTGTCCAACTGGGTGTGAGAGCCTGCAGTAATGGTGTTGGCTAGGTAGCTAGCATGTTTAGCTTGTCTTGTCCCCCTCCCTTTAGAATTTTTGTGGTGAATAGCTAGCATTTTTAGCATTTTTGCTTTCGGTTTAGCCTTTATTTTAATTAATGTTTTGCTACTTTGTTTAGCGTATTCTGCTTTTCATTAGGAAGCTAGTATGATTAGCCTATAGCGCTTGCATCGGATCCTTTCTTAAACATTTTTGGCTAGGTAGCTAGCATGTTTTTTTGGGGTGAATAGTTAGCATTTTTAGCCTTTTAGCTTGCAGTGTAGCACTTATTTTATTGTATTTATTGCTAAGTTGCTAGTTTGTTTAGCCTATTCTGCTTTTTTTGCCTCGGTAGCTAGCATGATTAGCCTATTTAGCTTGTCACCCTCCCATTTTAATTTTTGGGGTGAATAGTTAGCATTTTTAGCTTTTTTTTGCTTTCAGTGTAGCCTTTTGTTTATTTTATTCATGCTAGGTTGCTAGTTTGTTTATTTCACTCCGCTCAGAAGCTAGTATGATTAGCCTATTGCATTTCTTTATTTCTTTTGGCCAGGAAGCTAGCATTGTTAGCTTTTTTTGCTTGTAGTGAAGCCTTTTATTTATATGGCTAAGTAGCTAGCATGTTTAGCTTATTCTGTTGTTATTGGCTAGGTAGCTAGTATGATAAGCCTATTGCGCTTGCAGTGTAGCCCTTCTTTATTTTCTTTGGCTAGGTAGCTAGTATGGTTAGCCTATTCTGCTTTTTTTGACTAAGAAGCTAGCATTTATAGCTTTTTTGTTGTTGCAGTGAAGCCTTTTATTTCTCTCGCTAAGTAGCTAGCATGATTCTGCTTCTTTTGCCTTGCTAGCTAGTATGATTAGCCTATTGCGCTTGCAGTGTAGCCTTTCTGTATTTTTTTTTACTACGTAGCTAGCATATTTAGCCCTTTTCCCTTGTGGGGTACCCTTTTCTAGCTTATTAAACCTACTTTGTATCCCATGCTGATTCCTAGTCTCCTCCAGTTGGTGCTTTCCTCATAAACTCTTCAGGGATCATCCACAGTTGATGCTCATCAGTTAGCTGTAGCTTATCTGTAATTAACGGTGTGATGAAACTCTAAATCCTCGGTAGCAGAAACATCTCAGAGGGTTTAAAACGTGCTGCACAGACCACACCTTTGTCAACAGTGTGTAAACCTAATATGAGTTTACTGTGACATGCCTGACAACATTAATCTGAACGAGAGAGATTAGTTATTGTTTTTACATTTCCTGATTATTTGAGAAGAAATCCTTTTAGTGGGTTCAGTTCATTCTTAGAATAAGTGAGAAATGGATTGTTTGACAGCTGGAGAAATAAGAAACTGTAAATGTACGCAATCATTTATATCTCTGTTAGGGCCAGAGAACTAAGATTATTTGTACTTACCTCGTACATTATTATATACAAATGTGATCATAAACCAACACTTTTAAATATATTTATCATTTTATTACATAACAGTACAAACAAGAACATGCGTCTTTCTGACGGGTTGCCCATCACGGTCACTTTAGAGAAGGTGGGAATTGTAGTCTTTTATACTCTGTTGACTACAGATTACGTGGCCTTTCTTATAAAAACAAAATACTGGCTCTAACAGTGTGTCTCCACTCTCTGGAGGAAGTGAGTCCTCAGCAGAGACGGCAAAAGTACACACATCCTTTACTCAAGTAGAAGTACACACATCCTTTACTCAAGTAGAAGTACACACATCCTTTACTCAAGTAGAAGTACATACATCCTTTACTCAAGTAGAAGTAAACACATCCTTTACTCAAGTAGAAGTACACACATCCTTTACTCAAGTAGAAGTACACACATCCTTTACTCAAGTAGAAGTACACACATCCTTTACTCAAGTAGAAGTACACACATCCTTTACTCAAGTAGAAGTAAACACATCCTTTACTCAAGTAGAAGTACACACATCCTTTACTCAAGTAGAAGTACAGATACTCGTGTTTAAAAATACTCTGGTGAAAGTAGAAGTACTGACTAAACTTCTTTCCTCAAGTGAAAGTAAAGAGGGCTTTGAAATGTACTTCAGTAAAAAGTACCCATAACTAGCAGCTGTTTTAAAGAGTACCTGACCTCCCTTTATATTAATAGAACAATAATGTCATTGTTAGCTAATGAATGTTTCCATGCTGAACAACGGCAACATGACAACGTTTTCATTGGTCCCTCTTCTTTAGAGAAGACCAGGAAATGATGGATACACGGATCGTGTTCAAATCAATAGGCACGCAATGACTCTAAATAATAATGATCACGCCACCAAACACACATTCAAACTAAAGGAACCAGCCTGTTTGGGAAATGTGAGAAGTAGAAAGTAATAAGTAGTGGAGTAAAGTACTGATACCAGAAACATGTACTGAAGTACAGTCAGGAAGTATTTGTACTCCAATACTTCCCACCTCTGATCCTCAGAAAGTCTCTTCTGTTCCAGCCAATAAACATCCACTCTGTTTCTGGCACATGCATGCACCACATCCCCCTCACCATTCAAAACTACACTACCCATAATGCATCAGTGCTGTTGCTACCTACCAGACTTAGAGATATTAGTATTTAGAAAGAGCAGATAATAAAACAGGACTTTCTCTCAGTTTCTTTTCCTTTCTTCTGTTTCATTCAATCCCTTCTTCATGTGACCTCCATCACTGCCCACCATGCAGCTTTACTAACCAGTGATGGACCTTCAGTTTGAAACAAAACACACCCTCTTCTACTCTCAGTGGTTCTCCTCTCTGAGCTGTGGACCACCTCTGAGGATCAAAATAACACGATCATAAGATGCTCCAGATGTGGATCTAATCCAATATGTAGGAGAAATAAGAGATTCAGACACTAATTGACAAATCAATTAATGCTACGAGTCATTTTTCAGCCTCAAATATGGAGATGCTTTTATCTGATTTATATCTTAATAAAGCCAATGGACATTTTCAACCAACATACATGTTAAAAAAACATCAATTGATAAGGAACATATGTGTTAATTGCATCCCTTATATTGTTTAATGACCATATTAGTCTGTATCTCTGTCCACAGCTCAGCAGGTGAACCTCTGATCACTCTCAGGCTCAGTGTCTGACAGGAAACTGTTTTATCAAACATGGAGACACACGCTATCCTTCAGCAAAGCAACGTCTAAAGAGGCCACTTGCAATGAAGTGTGTGTGTGTTTCCATGCTTTCTATAGTCCTCCTCTAAATGTCAGTCATTTGAATATTTTACACATGTTTTACGATAAACAGTTTCCACTGAAGCACTTCCTGTCTCCCCTTCACATCTAACACCCCCCACCATGCAGAACACCTCAGATTAACGTGAATATAATGTTCCTGTGTTTCCCGTCGGTCTGTCCTCACTTCTCCTCCTCCTTCTCCTTCTCTCTCTCAGGCGTGTGGCGACCCCAAAGCCAAGCCCTCCTACCTGGTGGATAAGAACCTGGAGTCTGCCGTCAAATTCATCGTCAGGAAGTTCCCCGCCGTGGAGACGCGCAACAATAACGTACGTATTTATTTATATATATATTTATGTGTATTATACGCCTGCATGCACGTCTGCGCTGTGTCTGTGTGGGAAAGAGAGGAAGAGAACGGGTCAATTTAGTATAATTAACGTCTAAATATAAGGCGCTTTCTAGGGCTGTGCGATTATGGCAAAAATCATAGTCACGATTATTTTGGTCAATAATTGATATCACGATTATTAAATACGATTATTCATTGACTTTGAAAACATCCATTTATTGAACTATAAAACAAATACAAATAATAATTTGAACAGTATCTTTTTAACTGTTGATTACCCTGAACGTATAATTCAACTGAAAAACCAATACACAAATAAATAAAATAAATGAAACATTTAAATAAATAATAAATACCAATAAACAAGATCAACAAATATTTTGGAGCGCACTTCCACAAGCTACTAAACATATATAAATATGATAAATACAAATAAATTAGACTAAAATAAATTAGATCAAATATGTTGCACTGTCACAACCTAGCAAAGCAAAATAATCGTTTTTTTTCGATTATGTTGTTTTCATAATTGTGGCAGGCCAAAATCGTAATTGCGATTAAAATACGATTAATTGCCCTAGCGCTTTCACACCAAGTAGTTTCCCCAGGAATAGTTCCGGGTACTGAGTCCCCCCGAACTCTTTATTTCTGATGAACTAAGTACAGATCGCGTTCACACCGGAATAAGTCCCTGGGGGTGGATTAGGCAAATGAAGCCGCTGACGTCACTTCTTCTTCTTCTGCTTTGGGTTTACTGGCAGGCTGCAAACAACTTCACGGCGTATACTGCCACCCGGAGTCCCCGGCCGGAAGTCCCCGGAGTTTGGGAAGGCTTCAGTAGAAGCTGCTGGGACTCCCAGCAGCTTCTACTGAAGCCTTCAGAGGAAATCACCAGAACGCAGACACCTCCTCATCTCCACCGCTCCCATGTTTTATTTTGTGTTGCCATAAGTTAGTCTCTCTGCGTTTGTGCGCTGGGCGAATGCTAATGCTAATAATGCTAATGCCAGGATAATAAAATGGTGGCTTCACAAAAACTTTTCGAAGTTTTACGGGACGTGGTTTGCAATCCGCCCAGCCAATCAGACACAGGAACCTTTTCCTCCTCTCTAGCAGGCACTATCTGGGGGTGAAAAGGTTCCCGGAAAAAGGATCTAGTTCCAGATTTTTTTTGGTGTGAACGCAAAATCCCAGGAACTATCGGAACTATTCCTGGGAAAAGTACTCCGGTGTGAAAGCGCCTCTTGATATTTTTCTGCAGCTAATACCTGGAGAGTTTTGCAATGAAAAGTTAGGATTTAACGGCTTTATTGTGAAACACAGAAGCTTTGGAAAGAAAACCTGATCATAATAATAAGGCTAAAATAATTGAACGTTTTATATTTTTAAAATCATCAGTTTTTCAGTGAAAAGGGTAAATTATTGTCAGATTTTACTCAATATAATTTAATTTAGATATTTAATAGATTTATAACTTTGCAGTAGTGTAAAGAACAGAAGCTACTGATGAATATTTAAACATATATATTTGCTTTTAAAGTGTCTTTGAGCTCTGGGAAAAGTGCTATATAACCATTATGTATTATTATCAATTACAATATCGAGTTTTAAATATCAACACAAGGTAACCTCAGTTATTTAGTCTGCTTTAACTGAAACTGAATTACTCAGATTTTATTTAAAATAACTGAGTAAACAAAGCAGCTCCTCATTTTCTAAAGCTCTTAACAAGTGCTAAAGTAATTATACTTTTAATAGATAAATGAACATTTATTATGTATATTAGTTAAGTCTGTGTGTGTGTGTGTGTGTGTGTGTGTGTGTGTGTGTGTGTTGTGCAATTAATCGTATTTTAATCGCAATTACGATTTTGGCCTGCCACAATTACGAAAACAACATAATTTGCTTTGCTAGGTTGTGACACTGCAACATATTTGATCTAATTTTAGTCTAATGCATTTGTATTTATCATATTTATATATGTTTAGTAGCTTGTGGAAGTGCGCTCCAAAATATTTGTTGATCTTGTTTATTGGTATTTATTATTTTTGATATTATTTATTTAAATGTATCATTTATTTGTTGTATTGGTTTTCCAGTTGAATTATACGTTCAGGGTAATCAACAGTTAAAAAGATACTGTTCAAATTATTATTTGTTTTAAATTTCAATAAATGGATGTTTTCAAAGTCAATGAATAATCGTATTTAATAATCGTGATATCAATTATTGACAAAAATAATCGTGATTATGATTTTTGCCATAATCGAGCAGCCCTATGTTAGAGCCTGTGTGTGTGTGTGTTAGAGCGTGTGTGAGTTAATGTGTGTGTGTGTGAGTTAATGTGTGTGTGTGTGTGTGTTAGAGCCTGTGTGTTAGAGCCTGTGTGTGTGTGTGTGTTAGAGCGTGTGTGAGTTAATGTATGTGTGTTAGAGCCTGTGTGTGTGTGTGAGTTAATGTGTGTGTGTGTGTGTGTTAGAGCCTGTGTGTTAGAGCCTGTGTGTGTGTGTTAGAGCGTGTGTGAGTTAATGTATGTGTGTTAGAGCCTGTGTGTGAGTTAATGTGTGTGTGTGTGTGTGTGTGTTAGAGCCTGTGTGTGAGAGTTAATGTATGTGTGTTAGTGTGTGTGTGTGTGTGTGTGTGTGTTAGAGCCTGTGTGTGAGAGTTAATGTGTGTGCGTGTGTGTGTTAGAGCGTGTGTGAGTTAATGTATGTGTGTTAGAGCCTGTGTGTGTGTGTGTGAGTTAATGTGTGTGTGTGTTGTTAGAGCCTGTGTGTGTGTGAGTTAATGTGTGTGTGTGTGGTGTGTTAGAGCCTGTGTGTGTGAGTTAATGTATGTGTGTTAGAGCCTGTGTGTTAGAGCCTGTGTGTGTGTGTTAGAGCGTGTGTGAGTTAATGTATGTGTGTTAGAGCCTGTGTGTGTGTGAGTTAATGTGTGTGTGTGTGTGTGTTAGAGCCTGTGTGTGAGAGTTAATGTATGTGTGTTAGAGCGTGTGTGAGTTAGAGTGTGTGTGAGTTAATGTATGTGTGTTAGAGTGTGTGTGTGAGAGTTAATGTGTGTGCATGTGTGTGTGTTAGAGCGTGTGTGTGTTAATGTATGTGTGTTAGAGCCTGTGAGTTAATGTGTGTGTGTGTGTGTGTGTGTGTGTGTGTTAGAGCCTGTGTGTGTGAGTTAATGTATGTGTGTTAGAGCCTGTGTGTGTGTTGAGTGTGTGTGAGAGTTAATGTGTGTGCGTGTGTGTGTTAGAGCGTGTGTGTGTTAATGTATGTGTGTTAGAGTGTGTGTGTGAGAGTTAATGTGTGAGCGTGTGTGTGTTAGAGCGTGTGTGAGTCAATGTATGTGTGTTAGAGTGTGTGTGTGTGAGTTAATGTGTGTGTGCGTGCGTGTGTGTGTGTGTGTGAGTTAATGTGTGTGCGTGCGTGTGTGTGTGTGAGTTAATGTATGTGTGTTAGAGCATGTGTGTGTGTGTTAGAGCGTGTGTGAGTTAATGTGTGTGTGTGTGTGTGTCCAGTGAACTAAAATAAATCATTGATCATCAAATTTTTCTTTCAGCTTCATTGTTAGCTTAGCTCGTAGCTTCTGGCCTTTGTGTTGATGTCAATGTGTCGTTTAGCAAACAGCTGTGTGTGTGTGGATATTTTGGAGTGTGTGTTTTCGTGTGTGTGTAGCTAACTGCTTTATTGATATCCCTGTGCTCAGATTGTCTCTTACGTTGTTTTCTGCTTTGTTTCTGTGTTTGTCGTGCATGCTAAACTTGGCTTATTCCGGACTTGTGCTTTTTGGTAAGTTTTTGTATCTCGTATTTAAGTTAACCTCAGTTGTGTAAAAATGTAATGTTTTTTGGAGTGTGTTTTTTCCGTTGCTCCGCTTCCTCTCGCTCTCTCTCTCCATCACTGTGTGTGTGTGTGTGTGTGTGTGTGTGTGTGTGTGTGTGTGTGTGTGTGTGTGTGTGTGTGTGTGTGTGTGTGTGTGTGTGTGTGTGTGTGTGTGTGTGTGTGTGTGTGTGTGTGTGTGTGTGTGTGTGTGTGTGTGTGTGTGTGTGTGTGTGTGTGTGTGTGTGTGTGTGTGTGTGTGTGTGTGTGTGTGTGTGTGGTGTGTGTGTGTGTTGTGTGTGTGTGTGTGTGTGTGTGTGTGTGTGTGTGTGTGTGTGTGTGTGTGTGTGTGTGTGTGTGTGTGTGTGTGTGTGTGTGTGTGTGTGTGTGTGTGTGTGTCCTGCGTGTGACCTGCTGGATGCCTACTGATTGGCTAAGAGGGCTTTTAAAAAGTGACTGACTGTCTGCACCACGGAGAGTTCAAAGCAAATATACATATTTATATCTGACAGATTATTACCTCATAGCGATGGTATCTGTACTGGATCTGCCACTACTTCAGATAAATAAAGAGACACATTAATACACAATTTAAAGGGGACCTATCCTGCAAAATGCACTTTCTGATGTCTTTTCTACATCAACAGAAAATAAAACCCTCTCTCTTTTCCTCCGTACCCAAATCTCTAAAAACGGGGCTACAACGGAGCTATCAGAAACAATGCCCGACTGTTTTGGACGTAATATGGTCGGTGTTTACATTAGCATCGCTAACACTCAGAGCTAACCTGTACTGGAGAGCATGTGTGTGAAGAAGCAGGAAATAAAAAGGAACTCACCTTGTGGTATAACCGGCAAGAGAGAAAGCCTTTGAGCTCCATACTGTTTCAGAGACAATCCTTGATAATCCATGATATGGCGTTTCATCACGGCAGCATTTAGTTTAGACGGTAGCTGCCGGGTCCCGCATGAGCTCAGCCCCCTCCTTTTATTTTTTAAAGCTTTATACACAAATCAGCACTTTAGAAACAGGAAGTGAAATAGAGGGATATGAGGCATGGCTAGAATGGGTGACCTGTTTGGGGTTTGGAGCAAAACACTTCATAGACATGTTTTTTATATATTTGTATATATCTGAGACCTATGCTATGCTATTGCTATAGGTGACCTTTAATAGATGAGTTACCTCCTTGGTGCAGCAGCAGCGTCACACACTCTTCAAACGTTACATTTCTTACTTTTTTCCACTTTCTCTCAACAGCTATGTTTTTAAAACACACACGGCTGCGGGGTTGAGTCCACTATCCTTCTGTCATTTAAACACAAACTGCTTCTCATTAGATGATTCTGCATTACAGCTGATTCAAAGTCTTTGTATCTGGCTTTTCATCACTGACTCAACATATTTCTGATTCCTTAAAAACTCAAACAAAGCTGGACCGATTTTTACTTTGGTCAAACATTTGTTTTCCCTTTATTCGTTGTTCAATCTGGTTTACAGCCGAGTGTACAGCCGGACTCAAAATGTAATATTCAAAATGTACGGAAGAGCATTAGGGAAGAAAAAAATGTAAATTCTTACCAAAAGTGAATTTTAGTTTTAGTACTGACATTAAAGTTAGAATTCTCAGAATTACATTCAAGTTTTTGGGAGATTTCTTGTTTTTTCAAAAAAATCTCAGAATTCTGACTTTTTCTCAGAATTTGCACTTAAATCTCAAAACAAAAAAATCACCTTTTCAGATTTTTTTTTCCTTTTTTCTGAAGATTAGTCACAAAAAGTCTGAATTCTTAGATTGGAGTCACATTTCTGGCTTTTTTTTCAAAAATCAAGCAAATTGAAGGTTTTTCAGAAAATCTCAGATTTCTGGCTTTTTCTTTGACGGTTTACTTTAATCTCAGAAAATATGTCTGTGTTTATCTTATAACTGAACAATTCAAATATATAAACATTTTTTTTAAATCTCAGAAAAGAAAAAACATCTGAAATTTGAAGTCACAATTATGACTTTTCTTTGCACTTTCTCTTAGAATTTTGACTCCTCACAACTCACAAATTCATGTATGTAATTTATTTCAGAAACCCTTTTTGTTATATTCCATGTTACATCCCGATAGCAATGAATATATTAAATGCTTTGACAATAAATACATAAAAATTCATCTGTGGAAGCCGTGGCGCTGTAAAAAGCACGACCAATCATCTGAGCCGACCCGGCTAAAATAACTGGATGGCCTACCTGCCTGTCAGCCTTCCATCTGTGCACAAACTTATCTCGTGCCCTCATAGAGAGGCGAAGTCCCTCCCTTCCGGGGGAGCTCCATGGGACCTTATTTCGGAAAAAGTATGTATTGAAGTCAATGGAGAGAGAAAGATTATCTTTCGATCCCGTTTGAATTGAGCCATGAATTACACATATGATGTTTGTCAATCTAAAAGATAATAAGTCAAAAAAATAAAAAAGTGTCGTAAAACTGTGAAGTAACACTTTTTTTTGTGTGAAACCGCTCAATGAACTCCATCTCCCGTCTCGCACCACACACCCAGACGGCCGTCACGTTGGCACATTTCACTTCTTTCTTTCAGAATGAGGCGGAAAGTATTAAACGAGGTGAAAATCACTCCAAGTCTGGGCATGTTGAGAGCTGTGCATACACACAAGGGGAGTGAGTCGGTTCCTAAGAGCCAGCATGCGGGACCGGGACTCTGGGATTTGTAGTCTTTCTAGTTGCGTATTTTTCATAGTCTTATATTTCAACAGTTTTACGACAAACTGTGACTTTTTTTTACATGGAAATTATTATTTAAGATTGACAAACATCATATGTGTAATTCATGGCACAATTCAAACAGGATCGAAAGATAATCTTTCTCTCCCCATTGACTTCAATACATACTTTTTCCGAAATAAGGTCCCATGAGTCGGAAGTAGATGGGCGGGACTTCGCCTCTCTATTGGTCATGTGTGTGTTGGGGGAGGGGCTCTGTAAGGAAGTGGCAGATTTTTTCCGGCTGTGTATTTTCAAATTCTAGCGCACTCGAGCTGGTTTCTCCAAAATGACCTACCCCACCTTTAAATAATTATATTTTTTCATTTCTGAGAAGTTTATTTTGAAAATCTCAGAATTCTAACTTTCACTTTTATCAAAACCTTTTTTTTTAAATCGGGCTTTTTGTGTTTTTTCTGAAGATTAAAGTCACAGTTTGTTTTTTGTGTCTGCTAATTCGTTTTCCTGAGAATCTCAGAATTCGGAGATTTAAGTTATAATCTTTTCAAATCTCAATAAAGCACTTCCCTCATCCTCTCCCGTACAAATGAACATGTTCTACCAAAGTAAAAAGACTCTTTGAAAGCAGGTTTAAATCTCCCTCGTGTCGTCTGTGTCTCTGTTTTTATTCATTAAGAGTTGAACCAGCTCCATTTCCACTCAATTATTCAACAGCTGTTTCTCATTTATACCCGTTTAATGTTAATTTAGTCAAAATGAAGAGAAACTGTTATTAATGAGAACAGAAACTCTATTGATCCATGAAGGGAAACTGTAATTGGTAAACATGTAAGAACAACTGTTTCTTTTACTCATTTTTGGATACAAGGTGCTTTGAATTAGTTTAAAACATGCCCATCGTATAGTACATATATGATATATATATATGTTACTCAGTGATGTGTGTGTAACTGTGTGTGTGTGACCGTGTTTACAGCAACAGTTGGCTCAGCTGCAGAAAGAGAAATCGGAGATCTTGAAGAACCTCGCTCTCTACTACTTCACCTTCGTAGACGTCATGGAGTTCAAGGTGGGAAACACACACACGCACACGCACGCAGACACACACACAGACAGACACACACACACACACAGACACACACACACACACAGACACACACACGCAGACACGCACACACAGACACACACACACACACACAGACACACACACGCACGCAGACACACACAGACACACACACACACGCAGACACACACACACATGCAGACACACACACAGACACACACACACAGACACACACACAGATACACACACGCAGACACGCACACACAGACACACACACACACGCAGACACACACACACACACACGCAGATACACACACACACACACACACACGCAGACACACACACAGACACACACACGCACACAGACACACACACGCAGACACACACACACACAGACACACACACACACACACACACAGACACACACACATGCACACACAGACACACACACACACACACAGACACAGACACACACACGCAGACACGCACACCACACACACACACGCAGACACGCACACACAGACAGACACACACACACACACACACACACACACACACACACACACACACACACACACACACACACACAGTTAGGAAACTCTCCCTGGTCACCAGTTTGAGCTTCAATCTCAGGATCCATGCATTTGTGATCCTCTCCAGAATGGAAGTAGTCATCACATACAGAGCATCAACTAGTTCCTGAACAGTGTCCTTCACATGCTGATATCCAAGAGAGGGAGTTACACAGTCACAAGATGGAGGAATAGAAAGCAGTATTCAATGTTTACTTCAGATTAGCTCCACGTCAGAAATGATCATGCTTGTCATATGTCTATCTCCATAGAGGCTGAATCATCATGTTAATCACATAGCTATCATATGCCTCAAACAGTCCTGATGCTCTTCTAGGTAATCACACATCCTGTCATGTTCACAGCTACAGTTGGGATACCTTTGTTAGCATGTTACTCTCATGTTGGAAGAGGACATTCAGTGTTTCCCCAACACACACACTCTCTACATAGTACTGTAAAGGATAATAAGGTGTGGATTCTAATGAAGGTTTGTATCCACCAACAGGACCATGTGTGTGAGCTGCTGAACACCATCGACGCCTGCCAGGTGTTCTTCGACATCGTGAGTTCAACAAACACTGCGTAGAAACATCTGTATTTGATTGCATTGCATCATACGTGTGTAACTCATTTTTATCAACCTTCGTGTTTCCTGTCAGACGGTGAACTTTGACCTCACTAAGAACTACCTGGATCTGGTGGTGACCTACACGACTCTGATGACCATCCTGTCGCGAATCGAAGAGAGAAAAGCCATCATCGGACTCTACAACTACGCTCACGAGATGACGCACGGAGCCAGGTGACTCACACACACACACACACACACACACACACACACACACACACACACACACACACACACACATGTAACACACTCCATGTGTGAGCAGTTAAAAGGTAGGCGGTGGTTTCTATATTAACCGTGGTTGTGTTTGTGTCTCAGTGATCGGGAATACCCCAGGCTGGGTCAGATGATCGTGGACTACGAGAATCCTCTGAAGAAGCTGATGGAGGAGTTTGTTCCTCACGGGAAGGTAGGAACGCAACGTTAGCCACCTTTAGCTTAGCGGTGGTGACGTGAAGTCATGTGACCGTGCTGTAGTTCCTTTATAGCCCAACATTAGCCTCCTTTAGCTTAGCGGTGGTGACGTGAAGTCATGTGACCGTGCTGTAGTTCCTTTATAGCCCAACGTTAGCCACCTTTAGCTTAGCGGTGGTGACGTGAAGTCATGTGACTGTGCTGTAGTTCCTTTATAGCCCAACATTAGCCACCTTTAGCTTAGCGGTGGTGACGTGAAGTCATGTGACCGTGCTGTAGTTCCTTTATAGCCCAACATTAGCCTCCTTTAGCTTAGCGGGTGGTGACGTGAAGTCATGTGGACCGTGCTGTAGTTCCTTTGTAGCCCAACATTAGCCACCTTTAGCTTAGCGGTAGTGACGTGAAGTCATGTGACCGTGCTGTAGTTCCTTTATAGCCCAACGTTAGCCCACCTTTAGCTTAGCGGTGGTGACGTGAAGTCATGTGACCGTGCTGTAGTTCCTTTATAGCCCAACGTTAGCCTCCCTTTAGCTTAGCGGTGGTGACGTGAAGTCATGTGACCGTGCTGTAGTTCCTTTATAGCCCAACATTAGCCTCCTTTAGCTTAGCGGTGGTGACGTGAAGTCATGTGACCGTGCTGTAGTTCCTTTATAGCCCAACGTTAGCCACCTTTAGCTTAGCGGTGGTGACGTGAAGTCATGTGACCGTGCTGTAGTTCCTTTATAGCCCAACATTAGCCACCTTTAGCTTAGCGGTGGTGACGTGAAGTCATGTGACCGTGCTGTAGTTCCTTTATAGCCCAACATAGCCACCTTTAGCTTATCTGGTGGTGACGTGAAGTCATGTGACCGTGCTGTAGTTCCTTCATAGCCCAACATTAGCCTCCTTTAGCTTAGCGGTGGTGACGTGAAGTCATGTGACCGTGCTGTAGTTCCTTTATAGCCCAACATTAGCCTCCTTTAGCTTAGCGGTGGTGACGTGAAGTCATGTGACCGTGCTTGTAGTTCCTTTATAGCCCAACGTTAGCCACCTTTAGCTTAGCGGTGGTGACGTGAAGTCATGTGACTGTGCTGTAGTTCCTTTATAGCCCAACATTAGCCACCTTTAGCTTAGCGGTGGTGACGTGAAGTCATGTGACCGTGCTGTAGTTCCTTTATAGCCCAACATTAGCCTCCTTTAGCTTAGCGGTGGTGACGTGAAGTCATGTGACCGTGCTGTAGTTCCTTTGTAGCCCAACATTAGCCACCTTTAGCTTAGCGGTAGTGACGTGAAGTCATGTGACCGTGCTGTAGTTCCTTTATAGCCCAACGTTAGCCACCTTTAGCTTAGCGGTGGTGACGTGAAGTCATGTGACCGTGCTGTAGTTCCTTTATAGCCCAACGTTAGCCTCCTTTAGCTTAGCGGTGGTGACGTGAAGTCATGTGACCGTGCTGTAGTTCCTTTATAGCCCAACATTAGCCTCCTTTAGCTTAGCGGTGGTGACGTGAAGTCATGTGACCGTGCTGTAGTTCCTTTATAGCCCAACGTTAGCCACCTTTAGCTTAGCGGTGGTGACGTGAAGTCATGTGACCGTGCTGTAGTTCCTTTATAGCCCAACGTTAGCCTCCTTTAGCTTAGCGGTGGTGACGTGAAGTCATGTGACCGTGCTGTAGTTCCTTTATAGCCCAACATTAGCCACCTTTAGCTTAGCGGTGGTGACGTGAAGTCATGTGACCGTGCTGTAGTTCCTTTATAGCCCAACGTTAGCCACCTTTAGCTTAGCGGACTAGTGAGATGCTGCCTTCAGGATCAAACACAGAAATACGTCATCCCTGCTCTATAGGCACATTAAGATCAGTCAGAGTGAAATAAATGTCCTGCTCTTTTATAACGAGGGTTTTGAATAAATGTGATGAAAGTCTGATGCAACATGTGATCATCTACAGTTACTTGGTTTTGAATGTGTAATTGATTCCTCTCTCCTCCTTTAGTCTCTGTCGGATGCGCTGATCAGTCTTCAGATGGTTTACCCTCGCAGGAACCTGTCAGCTGATCAGTGGAGGAACGCCCAGCTGTTGTCTCTGATCTCTGCTCCGTCAACCATGCTCAACCCCGCCCAGTCAGACACTGTGAGTGAGACTCACTTACACCCAGAGGGAACACTTTAAATTCAAAGTCAAGAAGCGACTCATGTTTCAATATTAGAATAATGAATAATTAAGATCTGATCGTGTGTGTCTTCAGATGCCGTGTGAATATCTGTCTCTGGACGCTATGGAGAAGTGGATCGTTTGTGAGTAAAATGGTTTCCCTTTCATCCCATCAACACTCATGTTTGTTACCAGCTCTTCGGGGTTAGCACATTGTCAACACATTTTTAGAAAAGTCCGAATTTTGAGATTTTCAGGAAAAAGTTAGAATTGCGGCAACAAATTCTAAGATTTGAGATTTTCAGAAATAATTAAACATTTTGAGATTCTCAAAATAAATCAGAATTTTTAGATTTTCTAAATAAATCAGAAATGTTTGATTTTCAAAATAAATCAGAATTTTTAGATTTTCAAAATAAATCAGAATTTGGAGATTTTCAGAAAAACGTGTCATTTTGACTGCAGTAGGACAAATGTGTGTTTTACAGTAAACATTCTTCTCTCTCTCTGCAGTCGGCTTCATCCTCTGCCACTCGGTGCTGAACACCGACGCCACGGCTCTTTCTCTGTGGAAGCTGGCTCTGCAGAGCTCCACCTGCCTCTGCCTCTTCAGAGACGAGGTATTCCACATCCACAAGGCTGCAGAGGACCTGTTCGTCAACATCAGAGGGTAAGACTTCTAGTGTGGAGAAAGCTAAATCGTGAGCGGAAACGGCATTTAAAAAAAAAAAGTAAAATGGATTTTCTTTTCCGAAGAAAATTTGGAGATTTTGAAAAAAATGTCTTCCAACATCACAGTTTTATTTGTTTTCCCAGCCCCCAAAGTACAAGTAAACACTACTAAACGTGGTAGTTTGGTTTATTTAGTTGTTTCCTAACACCACCTCTTCTTGTGTTTTCCAGGTACAACAAACGCATCAATGACATCAGAGAGTGCAAGGAGCAGGCTCTGTCTCATGCGTACGTTCTTTATTCACCTTCATCAAATATAACTTCCTCTTTGTCGCTCGCACACAAAACATACTTCATAGTTTATTTTACTCTAATTTAAGTAATACACTATACCACCTTAAAGAGCTATAGAAATATATATTTCAATCTTTTTCAAAAAATCTCAGAATTCTGACTTTATTCCCAGATTTTAACTTTTTTCAGATTTGGACTTTTTTCAGATTTTGACTTTTTTCTTGGTTTTTAAATTTTTTTTTTAAATATCATATCTATAATTTCTCAGCATTTGCAAAAATACGTTCATCCTTTAGTCACTGATCCCTTCATCGAACCCCAACTGGGATTCTCCTTCCTCTTTGTCGCTCGCACACAAAACATACTTCATGTTTTTCATGATTTGTTTCAGTCTCATCTCTGCAGCCTCTCAGGCCTCCCCTCCTTCCTCTCTTTATCCCTCCTTCAGTTTCTTCTCCGTCTCATCATCTCTGCTGTTATCCTCATGACTTATTCCCTCTCCCCCTTTCATCTTCTTTCTCCTGCCATCCCTGTCGTCTTCCTCCTTTGTCCTCCTGCAGATTGTCCTGAAAGTGTCAAAGCAGCGTTTAATGTGTGCTCTGATGCTCTGTTTCTCTGCAGAGGCTCAATGCACCGAGAGAGGCGTAAATTCCTCCGATCGGCGCTGAAGGAACTCGCCACTGTGTTAGCCGACCAGCCAGGACTGCTGGGCCCTAAGGTAACAGTCAGAGTATTTAGAAAAAATACAGAATATTAGAACAAAGCCAGATTTTTTTGAAAAAATACAGGATTTTTTGAAAACATGCAGAATTTTGGGGGAAAAGTCAGAATTGTTTATATTTTCTGAAAAAGTCAGAATTGTGAGATTTACAAACCAAATGTGAATTTTGAGATTTTCAAAAAAAAATGAATTGAGGGAAGGACATTGAATTTTGGTAGAAAACTTTCTAAATAAAGTCTGTTGAGCTCTGAGCCTGTTTTTCAGGTCTCAGGCTCGAAAATGACATTCCCAGAACAAATGACCATATCTTCCCTTCTAAAAGGGTTAGATTAATAATCTTTTTTCTCAAAGTAATGATAAACCTGTGAGTTGGATGTAGAAAAGTCAGAATCAATATAGATGTTTTTTATTTTAAAGAAAATTCAGATTTTACATAGTAAAAAACTGTAAATTATAGTGTCTGTCCAAAAATTATTTTTTACTTATAGTGAAAACTACCCTTGGATGATGGTAAGGTAGACTAAAAACAAGTGACATTTTACCTTTTTAGAGAGATTTAGCAAAAAGAAACCACTTCTGGGGTCATTTGGGTGGATTTTCCATATCTCTGGCCCCCCTTGCTTGATTTTGATGGTTGACACCTCTTTCTGACCGTTAGAGCCAATAGAATCGAAGGGGGAGTCCCCCACACACACGTTGTGAAGAGAAGAGGTGGGGGCTTCGCGCATGCAGTTTTGCATCAGAGTGAACCTATCTCTAGCTTTGACATCTGGAAACGGAAAAGCAGTTTTATTGCTTATGGATTATCAGAAATCATTTCAAAGGGACACAGACACATTAGATTAACCTATGGATTAACTTCAGCAGCGCTTTTATCATTTTAATGCCATTGAAGACCACTTTGGAGAGACTACAGAGCCAATGTAAAAATGTTAGCATTTTTAGCTACCTAGCGTCACCTGTTTTGATGTCTGTTTTTGTTTATAACGTCGCCATTTCGTATAATTCAGTGGTAATGTCGGTGTCAATAGATTCTGTGTCACCTCACGATGTGAATCGATGTGTTGGATGTGGTGAAAAGATAAATAATAAGGTTTTGTGAGTGATTTTAGGTGCAGTAATCTGTTAGCATTTTTCGCTCGTTGCTAATTCAGAGGCTCAGTGTTAGCATTGTGGGTTTTCTTTTGAAAAATAAATAAAGATCAGTTAGATGAGTTTCTTCCCGTTACATGGATATAAAACATTCAGTTTATTAAATGAACATGCCCTCAGACACTGTTTCCTGCAAGATGTTGCGGGAGGGCGTCGGTACCGGGGTCTCTCGGGCTTAACAGGTTAAAGGGTTCTAGAATATATTTAAATCTGTTTCAGAAAATCTCAGATTTCTTTCTCCAGATTTTTATTATATGAATATTTTCAGATATTGACTTTTTTTCTTGGTTTTTTCATATTTTGACTTTTCTGAATTTCTGGGGGAAAAAGTCAGAATTAGGAAATTTTACGGCATTTTTTCTCAGAACTTTGACTTTTTCCAAAAGCTGAGATGAAATTTGGAATTTTGTGATTTTCAGGAAAAAAATGAAATATATTTTCATCAAAATTCCCAGATTTTGACTTTTTTCTCAGCATTTGCAGTTTTTCAGCTTTTTCTCATATTATGACATTTTTCTGTGATTTTCACTTTTTCGGAAAAAATTGAAATGTTTTTTTCTCAGAATGTCATTTTTGACTTTTATTGCAGAATTCAGATTTCTGAAATAATTTTCAGATCTAGACTTTTTCCTCAGATTTGGTGAATAAAACTTCAGGATATATAGTCCGAGTTCTTGTAAATAAATGCCTTCTTTTGACAGTCACAAATACCAAGAATCTGACTTTAATGGGATATAAATGAGAGAAAATGAGAGTTCTCCAGATTTGAGAGGAATTTAATTTCCGTTGATCAAAGAAATAACCCTTTGGGAGTCACATAGGCTGAGTGTAGGCCTCACCTCTTTTGAGTGGATATAACGTCCTGTGTGTAATACCTCCTTGAATAACTCTACATATATTTCCCAGATTTATCACTTTTTAAAAGCCCAGTGGGTTCCTCTGGCCAGATGGAGTCCTAATGAATTTATAACAGAATATACTGAAACATATTGCTCACTCGGTTCACAGAAAGCTTCCAGAAGTTCTTGGTGATTTATCTCAGAATCATTTATCTTGGGGAGTTTTTGACATTTCCATTTCCCTCCATATTTCTGTGTTTCTCCCACTAGGCGTTGTTCGTGTTCATGGCGTTGTCGTTCGCTCGAGACGAGATCATCTGGCTTCTGCGACACGCCGACAACATCCAGAAGAAAAGCACAGACGACTTCATCGACAAGTATGCAAACACATGGACACAAACACAAACATGTACACAAACTAAGGGGTGCTTATACAGTCCTGCAGAGACGTGGTATTTCTGTAGAGGACCCTGAAGGCAGCATCTCCCTGGTTCTTCAAAGTCTTATAATGCTGACTCATGCCAGTGTTTTAGGTCTCATAATGCTGACTCATGCCAGCGTTTTAGGTCTCATAATGTTGACTCATGCCAGCGTTTTAGGTCTCATAATGCTGACTCATGCCAGCGTTTTAGGTCTCATAATGCTGACTCATGCCAGCGTTTTAGGTCTCATAATGCTGACTCATGCCAGCGTTTTAGGTCTCATAATGCTGACTCATGCCAGCGTTTTAGGTCTCATAATGCTGACTCATGCCAGCGTTTTAGGTCTCATAATGCTGACTCATGACAGCGTTTTAGGTCTCATAATGCTGACTCATGCCAACATTTTAAGTCTCATAATGCTGACTCATGCCAGCGTTTTAGGTCTCATAATGCTGACTCATGCCAGCGTTTTAGGTCTCATAATGCTGACTCATGCCAGCGTTTTAGGTCTCATAATGCTGACTCATGCCAGCGTTTTAAGTCTCATAATGCTGACTCATGCCAGCGTTTTAGGTCTCATAATGCTGACTCATGCCAGCGTTTTAGGTCTCATAATGCTGACTCATGCCAGCGTTTTAGGTCTCATAATGCTGACTCATGCCAGCGTTTTAAGTCTCATAATGCTGACTCATGCCAGCGTTTTAGGTCTCATAATGCTGACTCATGCCAGCGTTTTAGGTCTCATAATGCTGACTCATGCCAGCGTTTTAGGTGTCATAATGCTGACTCATGCCAGCGTTTTAGGTCTCATAATGCTGACTCATGCCAGCGTTTTAGGTCTCATAATGCTGACTCATGCCAGTGTTTTAGGTCTCATAATGCTGACTCATGCCAGCGTTTTAGGTCTCATAATGCTGACTTATGCCAGCGTTTTAGGTCTCATAATGCTGACTCATGCCAGCGTTTTAGGTCTCATAATGCTGACTCATGCCAGCGTTTTAGGTCTCATATGCTGACTCATGCCAGCGTTTTAAGTCTCATAATGCTGACTCATGCCAGCGTTTTAGGTCTCATAATGCTGA